GCGCGCGCGGCGCGGTGGGGGCGGCCGCGCGCGCCCCCTGCCGGCGGCGGCGCTTTAACGCAGCGCCCGCCTCGTTTGTGCTCCCGCAGGCGGCGGCGAGCGGGCGCGGGCCCTCCCCAAGGTCGTGGACACGGGAGGGGGATTCTTCCTGGAGGAGGAGAACGAGGAGAAGGAAGAGCGCGGCGCCGGCGAGAAGATCGTGCACCCACCCGGTATTTAAGAAAAAAGCCTGTAGGGAGCGGCGGGGGTTTGGCGGGGAGGCGACGGGAGGAGGCGGCGCCGCGTGCGCGGGGCTGGCGGGGGAGGGCAGGAAGGCGCGGGGGCGACAGTGAGCCGGCTCCGGCCGCGCCAGCGGGGCGGGATGGATGGGCGCCTTTTTTTTTTTCCCGGGCTTTTTTTACTCTCCTTTCTTACCCTGTTTTTTCTTTCTTTTATCCTTTTTTTTTCTTTTTCTTTCTTTTTTTTTTTTTCTTGCCACCCCTTTTCCTCCTTCACACGTTTTTCTGGATGTGCTCGATTAGTGGCGCGTCCAATTCTTTTCAGCATTAAATCGGCTATAGCAAATGCGCGGTAATTAAAAACGAAGAATTTTAAGCCGCGGAAGTGGGACACAGCCTGTGCCCTTGGGTATAGCACATTTTAATTTATTTTTTTCTCCCTCATAAATGCTATTTCCATTACTTCTTTCTGAGAATTTAAATTTTAAGATCTACATGAGGGTAAATTTGCGCGGCTTCGTCGGTTGTGGGAATTTTGGGATTTATGTGGTTTGTGCCAAGACCGGAGCGCTGCTGCAGTGCCAGCTTTTATCGTTATAAAACGTGCTGGCGCCAAGTTACTGATCGTTCGGTGGAGGATTTCAGCACATTGCCTTGCGATATTCTCCCCCCCAAAAAAAGCAAATGGAGAAGTAAGGGTCCCAAAATAGATCGACTTTCTTCTCTGGGATTGTCTTTGTCTTGCTTTGTTCTGCTTGAATCAGCTGCGGGGCTGTTGGTGCAGTGTATCTCTTTGTTAGAAATCAGCACCAGATTTCATTAACAGTGTAAACAATTAGCAGCCCTGCTTCTTTTGATGGGCTAATGTTTAACAATAAATTAAAGTAGATCTGGGATGCCCTTACACTGGGCGTATTTTTTGCTGTGTAATTCATAACGTCATTGTCTTAATAAAATGTCTTCGTGTTCGGGAGCACTGTCTTAAATGATGGAATGTGATGTAAGAGTATGAAATGACTGTGAAGTACTGAGCATCCGGCTGTCGCTAGTAGGACTGAATTTACATAAAATGTCGTCTTTGCTGGATCGGATCTGCTATAAATGCAAATGCAATTAAAATGTATGGTGCTGCATGTCAACCATTAATCTTCTGCTTCAGGTGTTCCTAAAATTCCACAGCACTGCCTCACTTCCAAATTTCAAAACTGTATAGAAATGTTAATTTTCTGATAGAATTCCAATGTTACTGTTAAAGGAATGTTACTTATAGCTGTTGTTCCCTGAATCGGTGTTTCTTGGTGTCCTATGGAACATAAAAGCAGATGGTGATGACGCTGGAGGTGATCCACCCGTTGAGGATGCGGCCAGAAGCAGTGGCTGGCGCTGAGATGAGTCTGGGCTTGGAGCAGTGCTGAGAGGGCTTGGGGAGAGGATTGTAGTGGAGCTCCATCCCCATTCCACTCCTAGCAGCTCTCTGGCCATCCACCTCCGTTTCTGCCAGCTGGAACGGACAAGAACCTTTGCCAACTGCCCCAGGCTTCCACTGAGCTCGTTTAGGGAGAGGCAGGTGTGGCTGAGCTAGGAAAAAAACTGGAGCAGAGCTGAGAGAACTATGATGCCAGCGCAGCTCCTGTAGTTTCCTGCTGTAGCCACCCTCTTCAAACTGAATCCCTTCTGTGCTTCCTCCTGTTTCTGCCCGTATGTCTTCTGTAAATCGGGGCATATTTTGGGAGGGTCAGAACAGAGGAAGTGGCAGGAGAGGATTTGAAACACTTTTTTGGGAGAAATGTGGAGAATTATTTTTAACAATGGCTAAGTTAAATGTCCATTTAAATGTTGAAGTTAAGTACTTAATGCTGAACTTAAGAAAACATTCCAACAGAGATGGAATTGTGCGGTAATGGGTTTTGAATTTGTACTGTATTCTGGAAAACTTCGATAGAGTGAAACTAGTTTGTAACATGCTTATGTGAATTCTAGTAAAATTACCTGTAATACCAATTCTAGATGCTTGTTTTTATCATTGTAGTCCCTTAAAAAAATATTTCTTTCCATTAGCACCCGTACTAGAATTTGATTATCTCATCTGTGGAGACTGTGGCAAAGAATTCATGGACTCCTACCTTATGCAGCACTTTGATTGGGCAACATGTGATAATTGCAGGTATTACAAATAATCAGGAGAGAGAAACATTATTTTACATAAAGATTGCTGGCTATAATTCAATGAGTTAGTAATTTAAAGAGACTGTCAGCAGAGAGACATATTTCAGTAACTTAAAAATGTAAATGAAAGTTGACTGATACCCTGTGTATTTTCCATTATGGAATTGAATCACAGATTGTCTCATAAGCCTGCCTTAGTATAGGGGACATCAGTGGATTTTCATACAACATTATGGAAATGGGATGTCATGAGAGCAGTTGGTGTGTTTGTCAGTGTGAAAATTTATGTCTGGCTGCAGACTAGAGCCATTTGAAAACGTGATGGAACACAAATATCTGCTATCTGAAGTGGATCAGGGATTAGAGTGTTTGCGGTCCCGGTGTTTTAACTCAAGTGAAGTTGGTACTTTGGTCAGCATGGGCGTGCTGGAAGCACAGCAGCCAAAGGGCAGAGCCCCAATGGGAGGTTACTGGTTGGCCTGCGAGGTAAGCAGGAGTTTGACCTTGAGAGGAGAGCAAGCTCTTATCTTTTAACACAGAAAACGCTCCAAAAGCCATCAAGATAACCAGGGCAATGAAACCG